GGCTCGGGGTGGTGGTGGTTAACAACAGGTATGAACAACAGTATTAAAACAAGTAAATTAATCATGAAAACCCAATCTACAACTATTTAAATAACAATCCAGATGGCAGTGCATAGTCTGATACAAAGAAACTTTCGACAATCCTCAGCCCTGAAGGGTAGCCTAGCAGCAAAGTGGTTTTCGGATCTATCATGTTGACTATCATATTTTGCCATACACTGAGAACGAAACCCACTTTCCCGCCACAATGGGGGGGGGTTAAATCTACCCAAGGAACGAGAATGTGTGGCCGAACTACTGTGATTTCTACCAGCTTCAAAATCCCACAGTTCTTATTTATTTGTACTTCTTTTTTTTTAAGGGCCAAAAATAGCCAGTGAAAATATATAAATCCCATAGACTTTATATATTAAAAAAGAAGCACTAATCTTGGCAAACAGAAGAACACAGAACACAGCATTTTAGAACAGGCACACACACATTCCAGTTCACTAACTAGTTGGATCTAACATCCGTTTTAATTAGCCTTTCAATATCAATATTATTTTTGTTTAATCTGTTGCTATTCCAGTCTAAAGCTTATTGTGAACTTTCAAGCAACCCAATCTTGGTGCATTAACATAAAAGCACATTCGGCTACTGCTGAGCGGCCTGGACAGGTCTGTACTTTTTGTAATCCTTTCATAACTTACTGCCCTTGACGATGCTTACCTTGTGCTTTGGAAGGACCATCTGTTTTCATTCCTTCCATCCACATGGATGCTTGTCTCCAAACCCTTCAGTTCCCTGCATATCGGAATCCATTCCCAGGTTCAAAATAGGATTTTATTTTGTGCAGTCAGCAAAATTTGACCCCCAAAACTTCTACTCCTCACACCACCCAAACAAGAAGCATATTACCAGCTGAATGCCACCTGTGTTTTAATTCTGTTTTATGTAGGCTTGCCAATTCCGGGTTGGGAAACTCCTGGAGATTTGGGGGTGGAGCCTGGGGAGGACAGGGAGCTCAGTGGGGTACGGTGCCACAGAGCCCACCCTCCCAAGCATCCATTTTCTCCAAGGGAACTGATCTCTCCAGGTCTTACCTGGAAGCTGGCATCCCTAGTTTGTGGCTGGAAGCAGCCCACTGGGAAATTTCCGTGTAAGTTAAAGAGAGCCAGCGTGATGCAGTGGTTAAGAGCAGCGGATTCTAATCTGTGGAGCCGGGGGAGGGCGGGCTTTGGGAAGGGAGGGACCTCAGCAGGGTATAATGCCGTACAGCAGGGGTCCTCCACATGATGCACACAGGCACCGTGATGCCCATCCACACCTTTTCTGGTGCCCGCTAAATATTGTTCAAAAGTGGGCAGGGCCAAGTAGGTCTTTTGCCCAGCAATGCTTCTGATTGGCCACTATAGATTTGATTGGCTGTGCAGATTTTTAAAAATACTGCTTCAGCCTCCACAAGGACCTTCACTGTGTGACTGCAGATAAGCTGCATCAGTCATTTTATGGCTGGCCCCAACTCCTGCGACAGCCATTTTGTAGCTGCGCCCACCCTGCTGTGTAAGAATTCCAAAGGTGCCCGCGGGCTCAAAAAAGTTGGGGACCCCTGCCACAGAGTCTGCCTTTCAAAGCAGCCATTTTCTCCAGGAAAACTGACTGGAGATTGGCAACCCTTTCATGTTGTATCTGGTGGCCTTTCCCCAAAATCTGGGGCCCCACTGAAGTTGTCATCACCGAAACAAGACAATTCTACAAGACTAGACTACACTTCTCGTTTATAGAAACATGGTTTCCACTTATAGATTATATTGCTAGAAATGATTCATTGTTTAACTTTTCATCCCCAACAGATGTTCTACTACTGTAATTCCAACGAAGACCGGCGACACCCTTCTATTAGGTGAAAGTAACCACCCTACGTTTTCGCATTTACCTTACGCAATGTAAATCTAAAAATCTGATCGTTAAACCTTATGTTACTATGGTGTTTTTAACGTTGACTAATATTCAGAGGTCATTTTGGGGGGGATCGGGGGGGATCGCAGTTCCCCCGGGTGAGGTGCGAGGGGGCGGGGCACATGACGAAGCCCCGCCCCTTGCTTCCGGCCGCCCCGCTTCTGGCCCTCATTCAGCCAGGAGGAGGCAGGAGAAGAGGGAGGGTAAGTTGCTTCCTCCCCGCCTCTCCCCACCCCTGCCTGCCTGGGGCCAGGGAGGGCCTTGGCGGGGCTTCCTCGCACTCCCGCCGGCCTTGCAGGTCCACCGCTGGGCCCCTGATGTCAGGGGGTGTGGCATATGCTAATGAGTTATGCTAATGAGTCCCCCTAGCTCTTTTTCTACTAAAGTACCCCTGCTAATATTATACTGTTGTTCGTTATATGTTCTATGTTACTGACTGTTAATGACATTATCGACAATGTGAAACTTTATTTTTCTGGTTTTGTTCACTTTTTAGTTCATAAGTAAAATTCCCTTTTTGGGGGGGAGGGGGGGAGTTGTCCTCACCAAAGGATGAAGATGCATGCGGAACCAGCTGCCTGGCTCGCCATATACAAAGCCAAGAAAGAATCTGCCTCCCGGTGAGATTGGCTAGCAATGGATGCCTTTTCCCTTGCAGCTCAACTGGTTCCAGTTGTCTTTGACCCTGACACTCCAAGGACCACTTTCCTGAAACCTTTATTGCTGTCAGGGGATTTGAACTCAGGCTAACCACTGGCTTTGCTCTCCTGGCCCCTCTGCAGCAGTGCCCTTATCTTTTACACCCAGCTTTCTTCATCATATTATCTGAGCACCAAGTTCAGACACTTGACGGTATTAAGTTCTCTGGCAGACTTCAGTTCCATGGCAGACTTGCTAAAGTCCAAGTCTGAAAATCTTTGGGAAACATTGTCAAGACCAGGGCCTTTTTCTTTCTTTTTTTTTAAAGAGGTGCCGGAACTCTCGAGAGCGAAATGAAGTTTTCAATCTGTATACTGAAAACTCGTGAACTTTTAAACATTTTAAAAAGAATTTTGTCGAAGAGGTTCCGGAACTCCGTTCCAGCGTGTTCCCCCAGAAAAAAAGCCCTGGATTAAGACCTACCAGTCTGGACTGGTCTTTGAGGATCAGGGTTAAGTTGGGGAAGGGTGCAGAATATCCAGTGGGTCTTATCCAATATCCAACGGGTCTTGATTCCCCACTCCTCCACTTGCACCTGCTGGATGACCTTGGGCAAGCCACAGATCTGGCACAGCTACTCTTGAAAAAAACCAGTTTCTGTCAGAGTTCTCTCAGCCCCACCTACCTCACAGGGTGTCTGTTGTGGGGAGGGGAAGGGAAAGGAGTCTGTAAGCCACTCTGAGACTCCTTTGGGCAGGGTATAAATCCAATCTCTTCTTCTTCTCTTCTCTTATATTTTATTCTAACTCATTCTCTACTTTCAAACATGCCTCTTTCCTTTTCTTCCCTTTCCCAAGTCTTTGGGATAGATCAGGCTCTAGGTCTAGATAGTTAACATTGCAATCCTAAGCGAAGTTCCACCTTTCTACATCCAGTGAACTCACTGGGCTAAGACGGGTATGACTCTGTTTAGGATTAGAGCAAATTTTGAGTCCAGTGGCACCTCTAAAACCAACAAAAGTTTATTCAAGGTATGAGCTTTCGTGTGCTCATACCTTGAATAAACTTTTGTTGGTCTCAAAGGTGCCACTGGACTCAAAATTTGTTCTACCGCTTCAGTCCAACACGGTTGCCCACCTGGATCTGTTTAGGATTGGCACTGTACAGTGTTCGTGGGATACAAACTTCACAAGATCTGGGGAGTACAAAGATGTGGGAAAGTTACGGGTGGTCGTAATCTGTGCTTTTCTAGCAATGATAACGTGAGCAGGATATTCAAAGAGAGAACCATTACGGTATGCAAGTAATAAAAGTGTCCAGATAACTGCAGACCTCCCAATAAAATCCTGAGAACTGGCCAACACCGAATTAAGCAATTAGCATCTGCTAATTAGGGATTTATTGCTATAAAAAGTGCAAGCATAGTCTTACTTTTGCCCGTAGACGAGTGGAATGGAAACGGCATTTGCAATCATACCTCCTCGTTGTTCAGAGAATATAAAACAAAGACGCGGGGGTGTCTTAGAGAGGACAGGCTGTAAACATGCATTTAATCAACTGAAGATCCGAGCTGGGCAAAATGATTTCAGGGAGCGGCAGGAGGAAGAGCAAGATTCACCGGGAAGTTCAGAGGCCTGCTCTTAAGTTGCAGCCAAAATTACATTGCAAAAAAGGAGAAGAGCTTTTATGGTGGTTATTTCTAAAATATTTTACGGGGGGAATATAACAGTAGCAATGCTATCACAGCCCAGCCCCGTGTCAGTCCAAGGGCTTTGTTCCTTTGGCATGCAGGCCCATTTGTTTATAACTTTAGTCACTGAATATGCACAGCCAGGGAATTCCTGAATCTACCTGAAATATAAGAGGGACAATAACTCTGCCAGTTATCCCTAAAGGTGACCCCCCCCCCGCCCAGGTAAGCAAAACCCCTTTGTCTCTCATGCAGTCCATGGCCGGAAACATAATTCTGTCAAATATTTGCATAGCCTCGCCTCTTTTTCTTTGTTATCACAAAGTTTTCCAGATAATAACTCTCAAGTAGTCCTCACGGTGTGCCCAGTAATCTGTTAGCCAGTATTTCAACACACCTCCTCCATGAAAACATTCCCCGTAATCAATAGGCACAGCGAAACATGACGGGCGCTAAGGAAGACGAAAAACAACTTGGTAAATTGTTCTTTCTAGCCCAGCTGCCAGTTTTGCCTTTCTTGTAGAATGCTGAGGTTGTTCTAAGATTTCTCTTCCTGTTCCCTTCTCCAATTACTATTTCTTTTGAGTTAATTATTCCCCCCCCCATTGAAAGAATGTCCCGGAGTCTGCAGAGAACACAGAACAGGCTCCCTCCAGATGCTAAAAATAGACTGTTCCATTCGGAATGCAAACTATTCAGTCTTCAAACTATTTATACAGTGCGAATTAATTGCAGATGGCCAATTCGTATAGGCAAGGTCCCTGCAACTGATACAAATGTACTACCTTCTCCTGATTGAAAGCAGGTAAAAATCGGCAAGGGGTATAAATGGGGAGGGGGATATCTGAGCTTGTTTTTGATCTTGGGGAGGGGGGGAATGCAGCTTGTAAGATCCATTTGCTTTGGCTAGCTCTCAAAAGATTTAAAACATAAGCGATTTCTTTTTTAAAAAACACGCTGACTTAACGGCTGTGTTTATAGAGAACAGCAATGATGGTTAGTAGTTGGTGTATGTATAATCCCGGCAGTTTGGGATCTTTTTAAAACTCTGCTTTCAAACGGATCTTAGCCGTATCTTTAGCCAGTCGTTCAGGGAACTAATTAAAAAGCATTTCAAAGAGCACAACTTTCCTCTTTCTGTCTAAATATTGCTATTAAACAGCCCAGACCTGCTAATGCTATCTCTTTGCCTCTCTGATCTAAACTCTTGGTAGGCTTTCTTCCCCCGCTCAGCGTTTCTTCCCAAGCGCTAGTGAGGAACCAAAAGAGAACAAACGCAGACAGGAGAGACTACTAAGGCAGGCTTTGCTAGAACTGGGCTGACCGGCAGTTCCTTGGCAGGCTGAAGATTGACGGCAAACTTTGAAGTTTGCAAAACTTATCAGCTCTCAGGTCAAAGAAGACAAATGTTTGCAAAGATGTATCTGCAAGGATTTGTCAAAATGTCACTCGGAGGCTTCCTGTTTTCCTTTCAACATAATATTTACGATAAGCTGTGACTTAATGCAGATGTTAAAACCTCCGATGTGGGGTGCAATCCAGGTTAACGCCTGCCTAGGTCCTAGTGAGACCAAGGGGATTTCAGCTTGCAGAGCTGTAAGGCACTAAGCCAGGGACTGTGGCGACAGTTCAGATGCCTTATGTGCCCCACAAGGGCAGCTTGCAGAGAGTGCAGACCATCTACTTGATCCCTCAGGACTTGCTTCTGCTCCAGGTGGGTAGAGGGTCCCCGTTCAGGGGCAGTGGAATTAGGTGAGCCTCTCTGGTTGCTGCCCTGACTTGGATGGCCCAGGCTAACTTAACCTCATCAGATCTCGGACGCTAAACAGGGTTGGCCCTGGTTAGTACTTGGATGGGAGACCACCGAGGAAGGTCCAGGGTTGCTACTTAGAGGCGAGCAATGGCAAACCAAGAGCCAGTATGGTGTAGTGGTTAAGAGCGCAGACAGTAATCTGGGAGAACCAGGTTTGATTCCCCACTCCTCCACATGCGGCTGCTGGTGTGACCTTGGGTCAGTTACAAGTTCTCTCAGAGCTGTTCTCTCACGAGCAGTTCTCGAAAGAGCTCTCTCAGCCCCAACTGCCTCACAGGGTGGGAAGGGGAAAGGAAGGAGATTGTAAGCCGCTCTGAGACTCCTTTGGGTAGTGAAGGGTGGGGCACAATCTCTTCTTCTTCTTCTCTCTGTGTTCATCTCTTGCCCTGAAAACCCCATCGCCGTGAAGTCAGCTGCCACCATTCCCCCAGGCTTCTATTTAACTGTAGTTTCTGGCTTCAGTCCTCAGCCTGAGCAAGTATAATCTCTTGGTGCCAATGTGAGTTGCTACTGACCACTTAGGAAAGCCAGGATGGAGTAGTGGTTCAAGCATCAGACTAAGATCCAAATCCTATCAACACGGAGGCTTGCTGTGTTACCTTAGGCCAGCCTCTCTCAGCCTAACCTACCTTATAGGGTTGTTGTTGTGAATGCAGAACAGAGGCAAAGAGTGCTGCAAGCTGCTTTGGGTCCTCATTGTTGAGAAAAGTTGGGGTATAAATATCCAACAAAATCCCTGGAAGCTGTGCTTGGCTTCAGAATGGTCGGCTCAGACACTGAAATCAACGAACGCACCAAATCTTTTAACCTTAACATTCTTCTTATCTCTAACCTCTGTGCATTGTATTGACGATGGTCAGGAAATCAAGTGGACAGCCAGAGTGGGGGGTGGTTGGAGTGTTGGACTAGCCCCCCCCCGGCCTGCCACAAAACTCTCTGGGCAACCATGAGTCAGCCTCCCTCTCTCTCTCTAACCTACCTCATAGGACTGTTGTGAGGATAACGTGGTGGAGAAAGAGGTCCATGAACTCCTGGGAGGAAAGGGGTTGGTAAAAAAATGGAGTTAATAAATAAGTAATAAACCAGTGGAAGAAGCTAGATGCACCATTAACAGTCACATTTATGGGTCGTATTACGGAGTTCTACTGAAAAGGGACCAACGAGATTCGTGAGGGATAACAGGGTAACCATATTTTGAAAAGCAAATAAGAGGACATATTTCCCGACTGACTACTCCAAACAACTGATCAGTATGACAAATACCCCTGGCTACTTAAACTGAAGCTTGCCTCCACTGGGGGACTATAAGGCAAAACAGGCTCAGCCTCCCAACTCCATTTCCATCATTTTTTAAAAAGAGCCTAAATGTGGATGGATGCCAAAAAAAAAGTGGCCATGTTCTCTAAAAAGAGGACATCTGGTAACCCTACTAGGGTATAAACCTTTATAAGCCAAAGCTCCCCCTGTCAGATACTCTGATATCTTATAACCCCTGATGTAGGGAACTTTGACTGTCAAAAGCTCATGTACACCCCCAAATTTTGTTGATCTCTAAGGTGCTACCTGGACTCAAATTTACTGGAGACCAACATGGCTACTAATGAAAAAGAGAATTTCTGTTACTCTACTCTCAATTATCAGGATCGCTGTAGTCTGTCTGGTCGTGTGATTTTCTGCTTTTTTCTGATTTTTTCCCCCTACACGTCCCCTGTGTGCCACTTGGATAAAGGCAGTAGTTCATTTGCAGCTGGGAATGTAAATCTCTAATCATAAAATTACAGAAGTTACGAATGCTCACCATCGAGCCTTGCTGCCTACCCTTTGTTTGCTGTTTATTTCTCAAGATACTTCCTTGCTTTTCTTGCTATATATTTCAAAATACTGCAAATAATACCAGGGCCTGAAAACTTCGAACAGCGGAATAAACACATTCTTGGGATAAACAGGGCTGATCCAGTCCAAACGAGTTCTCTGTAGCTTTTAGCAACACACACGTCCCGGACTGTGCTGGAAATGTTACTGTAGTGATTGTTTTGGGGGAATCCAAATAATGTAAAGAGAAAGGCTGTATAGAGTCAAATCCCGCCCCCCAGCCTCAGCCCCCAGTCCTTTTTTTTTTTGCGACTGTACTATTTTTGCATTCCCCAAACTGTTCTTTTTGTAGCTTTCTTAAGGAATGCTGCGTTAAGTGTTCATGCGGAGGCTAAAGAAGGAAGGGGAGATTGTTTTTCCAGTGAGACTGTAAAGAAACCTCCCAAGAAAGTTTGGATAATCTTTGATAAGCACACTGATACCGTTTGTCATAAATATTAGTCAGAGATCTGTCTCGGGGTCTTCCAAACATATCATGTGATTGGAACGTTTTTCCACTGCCTGTGTTTGAAAGTGTTTACAACACCATTGGTTTTGTGCATCGGAATGCCTTCCATTATTCCAATTTCTTAGGAGAGATTTCTCCCTGAACCGGTATGGCTTCCACTCCAGCAATACTTATTCTTTTACCATTCTAGGTTCCACCCACCCCCCCAGTATATATTATACTGATTACTCACACCCATGGATATTCTCAAGATAAATTGATCCTTTTTTAGCACGAATATCTTTCTATTCTGTTCATAATGCAGATGGAACTGGATTATTGTCTCCCTACAAATGTTTTGGGTCAGAAATAAATCTTTTTGTTCGTGCTTACATAGTATCACCACTTTTTCTTCTTCTTCTTCTTGCAAGCAACAGTCTCATTTCCTTTAAAGGACCTGGGAGAAGTGTCATAATGAAGAGCTACCAGGTGCTTAAATATTTTCTTGTTTCTTATTCAGCTGCCTTTAACATATAGATTATGCAATGAAACAAGTTTGTGTCTCAGGGCGATTTCTCACTAGAGCTGCCTCGCAGCACAGCGCCGTTTGCCTCGACACAAACATGTCAATTTCACACCCGAAGCTCCGGGGCTGCGTTTTGTCCGCAGTTTCGTGATCCTGGTTTTTGAGGATCATGAAACTGCGGAGGAAATCGGGCGAAGCCCCGAGTCAAATGCAGCCCCGCAGCCTCGGGTGTGAAATTTACATGTTTGTGTTGGGGCAAACGGCGCTGTGCTGCGAGGCAGCTCTAGTGAGAAATCGCCCTCACTGAAACTTCAGGATAGGTGCCTTTCTGAGGTATTGAAGGGACCCAGGAAGATCATCTACAACTGAATAAACAAAAGACTACCATTGACCATTGGGAAGAGAACAAAAATCTTCAGTATGTCTTTTTTCATTCCCTATTACAATAGCACACTAGACTAACTAAAAAAGCTAACAAGCAAAGTATCTCACTCTCAGCATCAAGGCTTAAAATTTGGCTTTACCGATAAATATTGGCTCCCATGCTTAATCAACTCGAGAGCCAGTTGACTGATCTACCAAGTTAAAATAATTAAAACTTGCAGTTCTAGCAGGGACAATTAACATTTGTGGAGCATCGGAAGTGAATGGTGCTCTGCAGAGTAACGTCAGCCTCAAAAGGGACAGACCTTTGCCTTAAATTTTACCATGTGGCAAAGAACCAAAGAGGGAAGACTGAGGCAAAAGAGAACATGTGCAAATGGAATTCAGAGCAGCAATAACTTCTAGGCCAAAGGCATCCGTTCGGGGGCAAATGCCTCACTCCTGCACAGCCCGCATGTTTTGTGTGTGCACAAATCCCCCTTGGGGCAAACCGATTACCCCAAACACCCTTTGTTGGATTCACAATCAATCCATTTGTTCCACCCTTTCTGTGCATGCTTTTAGAGAGAGCATCGGTCAAGTTACAGGTTACATACCCATCCTGGCTTTCTTTTTGCCCAGGTCTGGTTCTCCGGCCAAGCCACCCAAGTGAGTACTGGGAGGGAGGGCTCATTCCCAACCATTAATAGTTCAGTGCTTAGATCCCGGGGCCCTTTCTTCAGGGAAATGCTGATTGCCACTTTGGGATCAGGAAGCAATTTTTCTCCAGGCCAGTTTGGCCAGGGATCCTGGGAATGGAACAGGGGTCACTGGGGTGTGTGTGGGGGGAGATACTTGTGAATTTCCTGCACTGTGCAGGGGGTTGGACTAGATGACCCTGGAGGTACCTTCCATGATTCTAATAGCATGGGAAGTGACCAGCATCACTGTCTGAGCAGGCCAGAGCGCCCTTTTCTCAGGTTGACAAAATACCTCCTGAAATACCACAAAGAGGCTGAAGGAATAGATCGATTTTTAGCAACAGTCAAAAAAACCCTGCAGCACTACAGATTATAGGGTAGCCAGGTCCAAGCTGAGAAATTCATGGAGGTTTCTGGGTGGTGCCTGGGGAAAGGGGAGTTTGCAGAGGAAGCTTAGCAGGGATGTGATGCCCCAGAGTCCTCCCCTCTGAAGTTGTCATTTTCTCTTTCTGGAGATCAGCTGTAATTCCATGGGAGTCACCACTGAAAAGGCCCTGTTCTTAACAGCTGATGTTCCCTTTTTCCTTCTCCAGTGCCCGAACCACATAAATCGTTGACAAGGTCAGCTTATACAGGAAGCAAGGTGAGGCAGTCATCTTCAATGACAGATGGGGGGGGCAGCAATCTCTCTGCTGTCCCGTCTTGCTTCTGCCTCCCATGTCTGCCCTCACCCAGCAGTTAAGGCTCTCTCTCCCCAAGCCTCTCTAAAACCAGAGTGGCAAGCCACAGGTGCCTCAGAGAGCCCCAAACTCTCGCAAGAATCCTAACCTCTCTCACAAGTTCGGCCATCATCGCCTGGCACTGTTACTTGTGGAGGGGAATATGATCGGGCCGATATTCTTTCAGATTTTAAAGATCAGAAGCTGCGTCTTGGACTGGGCTCAGCCACACACACACAAAGAGTGACTAAATTCACTGCATTAAATAGACAAAGATCAAAATCCCGTTTTTAAAAAGCAAGATTTAAGATCTTTCTAGGGAAATCACCCTTCCACCCCATTAAGAATAGGCATGCAGGGCAAATGGCTCCCAGGCTGTCAGTTCTGGTCCAGATTAATTTTCTGAACCATTTTCAAGGGCAGTCCTCTTTTCTCCTCATTTTGAGGGCCCTGAGGGGGGAAAAAACAGTATCAGACCAGACTAGTTCTTTCTTTCTTTCTTTCTTTCTTTCTTTCTTTCTTTCTTTCTTTCTTTCTTTCTTTCTTTCTGTCCTTCCTTCCGTCCTTCCTTCCGTCCTTTCCTTCCTTTTCTTTCCTTCCTTTTCTTTCTTTTCCTTCCTTCCTTCCTTTCCTGACCTTATAACTTTAACAGAAGGCTGCCACGCAGAAATATAGCAGATTTTTCTTTCAGGAAGATAAATGGCGGGAAAAGTTTCTGCTATTTTCTGTGTGTGAGGCTACTTTTAAAAGATTAGGAGCAGGGCCAGGTTAGATTTTTAAAAAAAAAAAAAAAAAGATGCTAGTCCTGGTTCACCCACCTCTTTTGTGTTTCCTCTGGTATCAGTGGTAACCTGATTATCAGTGAAGAGCAAAGGTTAATCCAAGGACAGTGTTCTACAGAAAGCGGAGGAAGGAACGGGATTCTCAGCACCTCGGGGAAACAGGACGATTTTCTGAGGAATTATAATCTAAGGGTGCATACGGATGTAGATAATTTCAGCAGTAAGCCCACTGTGGAAATTCACCAGCCACATCAGATCTCCGAAGCTTAACAGGGTCGGCCCTGGTTGGTACTTGAATGAGAGACCACCATGGAAGTCCAGGGTTGCTGCACGGGGGCAGGCAATCGGAAACCACCTCTGAACCTCACTTGCCTTGAGAACCCTACAGGGCTGCCATAAGTCGGCTGCAACTTGATGGCACTTTCCACCCCCACCCCCACCCCCAACTAAGTTCAAAGTACACATATTTATCTGGTGAGAAGTAGCAGCAGCTGGATTTGTATTGTGTCAATTGTCTGGCTTTTGCCTTGAATCACAGAATCAAAGAAGGGACCTCCAGGGTCATCGAGTCCAACCCCCTGCACAACTACCTCCCCCACACACACCCCGTGACCCCTGCTCCAGGCCCGGAAGATGGCAAAAAACCCTCCAGGATCCCTGGCCAAACCGGCCTGGAGAAAATTGCTTCCTGACCCCAAAGTGGTGATCGGCATTTACCTGGCCGTGTAAAAAAGGGTCACGAGAACTAAGCAGTGATGCAACCCTCCCTACCTCCCTCTCATGATCTGACTAAGTTCACAGAATCAGCATTGCTGTCAGAGGGCCATCTAGCCTCTGTATGAAAACCTCCAAAGAAGGAGAGCCCACCACCTCTCAAGGAATCCTGCTCCACTGGGGAACCGCTCTGTCAGGTCTTTGGTCATGAAGCCCCTCCCTCCCTCTCTCTGAGCAAAGCTGTGCACAATGTTGACTGGTTGGCTCTTGTGTCAATCAAATTCTATGGTTTTACCATACAGTTTATGTGCCTCCCCATGTCCACTCCCCCACCCCTCGCACTGGTTGCCAACCCTAGTTTGCCCTGACATTTGGCTCTCTTCTATAGAATAATGCACCACTGGGGGCTACATGTTCTATGACACACCATCCTATGACAAGCTGTTGTTGTTCAGTCGCACAGTCGAGTCTGACTCTTCGCGACCCCATGGACAAGATCTCGCCAGACCCTCCTGTCTTCCGCCGTCCTCTGAAGTTGGCTCAATTTCATGTTCGTTGCATCTATGACACTGTCTAATCATCTCATCCTTTGCCGTCCCCGTCTTCTTTGACCTTCAGTCTTTCCCAGCATCAGGGTCTTCTCCAGGGAGTGCTCCCTTCTCATTTGGTGGCCAAAGTATTTGAGCTTCAGTTTCATTATCTGGCCTTCCGGGGAACAGTCAGGGTTGATTTCTTTTAGGATTGACTGATTTGATCTCCTTGCAGTCCAAGGGACTCTCAAGAGTCTTCTCCAGCACCATAGTTCAAAAGAATCTATTCTTCGACGCTCAGCCTTCCTTATAGTCCAACTCTCGCAGCCATACATGACTACTGGGAATACCATTGCTTTGACCATGCGGACTTTTGTTGGCAGGGTGATGTCTCTACTTTTTATCATGCTGTTTAGGTTCGCCATCGCTTTCCTCCCAAGGAGCAGGCGTCTTTTAATTTCATGGCTGCTGTCACAGTCTGAGGTGATCTGGGATCCCAGGAACGTGAAGTCTGTCACTACTTCCACGACTTCCCCTTCTATTTGCCAAGGAGTGATGGGGCCGGATGCCAGCTACTTCTCATCAAAGGAAGGCTCTCCCGTTCCTTTAAGCTGGTGTACCCTCTTGTCCAGCATCGTCCTTCCTCTTCTATGTCCTAATCAATGTTTCTGCTATTTTTCCTCCGTACTGAGCAGAGCAGTTCCCATCCCAAGCAGAATATAACTGCCGTAATCTTAAAATGGGCAATGGGCAGTGCAAGACCCTGTGTGGCTCCAGACTGCTGCTGAGCAGGGCTTCCTGTGTTAATGAGCGGCTAATCACGCACACAGCTTAGAAGGAACACTGGTCCTAATCTCCATTAGGGAATGCATGATAGCAGTGGCTAAATCAGAGAAGGCATTTTGTTTGGAGCCTGCCCAAGTTTTGTGACTGGACCCAGCAGCACCTCATGGATGGCAGCCATTTTGTGACTGCGGCCCCTGGCAGCCATTTTGTGGTGCCCACACTACCTGGTCTCAAAATTCCAAAACTGCTCAGAATCTCAACAAAGCTGCACTGAACTATTATGAGAGCTGACAAGGGAAAAGATGAGAAAGGGAAATTTGCTCCACAAATGAAGGCTGTTAATTCAGAAGCTACAGGCCTGCTGAGAGTCAAAGCACTGTGCTTCTATTTGACAGGGAAAGGAATGACTCCTATAAAGAAAATGTAGCACTGAATCCCAACTCTTGAAAACTGCCAACAATATACAAGAGCTGGGAGGAGGCCTTTGGAGTCAACCTGGAAAAAGAAGAAAGGAATCACGGCACTGGAAGAGAAGGTGGAGGCACTCAGCGAGAAGCCAAGGTAACAAAGCACCCAAAGGTTTTCAAGTTCCCCTGAACTCTGTGACTGTGGAGTTCACCTATCAGGACTCATAAACATTATGGTAGTGATAAAACCAAGCTGGCCGCTTGCCAACAGGATCCAGGTTCAAGTCTAGAAGCTTGCAGGGGCTCTCAAATGCTGAGTCTGCAACACCACGAAATGAGAAGATATATATGTCATGGCAATCATAACATAGGCTGAAAAAGTAACAGGGTTTTCTTAAAACTATGATGAAGCACCCACCCTCTGAAAAGAAGGCTCTTGGCTGACAGCAGTGGCTACTTGGGCTTTTGGCACAGGTCCAAGGCTCGGGGCAAGAGGTGTTTGGCTTATTTTCCCCATAAAACACCCTGTGCATAAGAACGTGAGAAGAGCCCTGCTGGATCAGAACAATGGTCCATCTAATCCAGGATCCTGTCTCACACTGTGGCCAACAGGTTCCTCTGGAGGGACAACAGTAGGGCATAGAGGCCTCGGCCTTCCCCTGACGTTGCCTCCTGGCTCTGGGATTCAGAGGATTAGTGCCTCTGAATGTGGAGGTTCCCCTCAGTCACCATGGCTAGTAGCCACTGATAGACTTACCCTCCATGAATCTATCGAATCCCCTTTTAAAGCTGTTTATTCCTGTGGCCATCACTACATCCTCTGGCAGCGAATTCCACATTTTAATCACTCTCGATGATGATGATGATGATGATGGAGGTGGAGCACTAGAGTTGCCAGCCTTCAGGTGGGGCCTGGGTCATCTCCCGCTTTTACAACTGATCCCCAGCTGACAGAGATCAGCTCCCCTGGAGAAAATGGCTGCTCTGAAGGGTGGACTCTATGGCATTGTACCATGCTGAGGCCCCTCCCCTCCCCAAACCATGCCCTCTCCTGGCTCCACCCCCAAAGTCTCCAGGTATTTTCCAACCCAGACTTGGCAACCCTATGGAGCACCTTTTTGGTACAACGACCCATAAGTCAACATTTCCTAGGTTGAGGGACCCACTTGGGGAAAAAAAAAATCAGCATTCACAAATCATTAAAATTGTAACCCCCTGGGAACCATGTTCACCGTCTTCGCGCCCCACTTCTGGGTCAGGTACCACAGCGTGGGAAACTCTGGTCTACCACTGCACGCTAGGTAGGGTTGCCGACCTCCAGGTGGTGTATGGGTATCTCCCAGAATTATAAGAGAGAGCTCCAGATAACAGAGATGAACACACATGAAGCCGCCTTACACAGAATCAGACCCTTGATCCATACGAAGTGAGTATTGTCTGCTCAGAGTGGCAGCAGCTCTCCAGGGTCAGTTCCTCCTCCGAAGGAAATGGCAGCTTTGGGGAGAGGATTCTATGGCCTCACACTGCTGCTGTGTGAACCTTCCCCTCCCCAAAGTCCCCCCTCCCCAGGCTCCCCCCCCCCAAATCTCCAGAGATTTCCCAAGCTGGAGTTGACAAACCTAATACTAAGAGTGGCATCCCTTGGATGGTCTTCCCAGATGGTCATTTAGACCATTTGGATCCTCCTGACAGGGCTTTTATTGCACAGAAACAACATTATTTTGTTGCTGGGAAAATGTGACACCCCCCCTCCCCACCGCTTTTGCTTCTCTTTTTGTTTCTTAATTCTGGAAAGGTGTTGTGGGGATTTGACCCTTCTTGTCCCAGATCCTAGCCTAACACTCTGCTATACCATGTATAAACATATATGTCTGGATTTAAATTAAAATCAGGAAGCCTAAGCGTTATTGCTACGACAACCTTGTGGGGTGGGCTAGCCTAGGATGGGAGAGAATGACTGCCTTAAGGTCACCCAGTGAACTTTATAGCTATTTAAGGATTTGAACCTGAGTCTCTCTGGTCAAAGCCTGGCATGCTTGCCTCCACATGAAGAAGAGTTGGTTTTCTGTACCCTGGTTTTCTCTATCCTAAGGAGTCTCAAAGCGGCTTACAATCGCCTTTCCCTTCGTCTCCCTACAACAGGCACCTTGTGAGGTAGGTGGGGCTGAGAGAGTTCTGAGAGAACTGTGACTGGCCCAAGGTCACCCAGCAGGCTTCATGTGGAGGAGGAGTGGGTAATCAAACCCGGCTCTCCAGATTAGAGTCCACCACTCTTAACTACTACACCCGCATGACAGCAGCTATCAAATATTATGTGGTACGTGATCATGCTATTGGTTCTAGGTTAGCCCTAAACATAGATGGAGTGTTTCCATGGATACAAAGGTTTCTGCCCATGAAGGGCAGCATTCCAGGGGACATGCTGGAATGTGGGGGGGGGGGGAGATGCTAGAAAGTTACGCTTCATGGAAACACTCCAATGAATCTATTTTTCATCCATAATATCCAGTCTTTCAATAGATCCTGAACTGCAAGCAATATCCACATGTAATAAAGGAGCAGTTATGAAGGAAAGGTCTAGCAACGGTTCTTTGCCTTGGGAGCTCAAAAGAATCTTGCCATTAGAGACCGACAAGGCATGGCAGTCGGCTTCGTCCCCTGCTTGTCAGCAGAGATGTAAAATTTCTGGAAAATGTGAAATAGCACAGAAGTCCAGCCAGAGCTTGCTCCCTCAGAGGCCACAAGTATCAGATGAAGCCATGGGCGGGGGGGGGGGGGGTTTTTTCCTCGTTTTTTTGGAAAAAATAATGGAATTATTTTGAAAAAATAATGGAATTATCTTTGGGGGAGGGTGGATAGAAATATATCTAATAGTTAATCTTCTTATCAAACCTAGACTTCATCTATAACTTAGCATCTAAAATAATACAGTTTGAAACACGTATATGTAGAAGGAATTTAAAAATAGAAGAGCTTGGTTTTCTACGAGTGAAATTGTAGATTTAGCCAATAAGACAGAGAGAGACAGAGACAACACTGCAAATTGCTGCACCCTGTGATACTTTCGCACACATTTTTGCCAACTGAGAGGTAGGAAAATATGAGTTGGGAATAGAAAACACACATTTTGTAGTAAACAAAAGAAAGTATGTTGTAAAGACAGAAAGAATCGCATACGGACCAAACAGCACTAGAAGCATATCAGAGATGTGGCAGTCCAAAAAGAAAAGGCAAGATATAGGGGTGGGGACACCCTCTTTGCTCTTTTCCTTTTCCCCCAGGATTTTTTTCCCAATGGAAAAACTGGGAATATTTGAGACGCACTAAAAAAATAACTCCAAAGAATTTTGTTTCTATTTTGGAATTTGTTAAATGTTTTTAGGACAAGATTTTAATCACTTATAATGTAAACAATTAAAATTTTTATGAGACAACCCACAACATTAGTGAATGACAAGTCAAGGGACCCACAAGGATTCCCAAGGGGCATCATGTTTTCTTCTCCCTTACTGTTTCATCTTTCCCTTCCCTGAAAGCCCCCATAGCCTCTCCTGTTTTCCTGTTTCCTTCTCTCCTTCGCAGCCACCAGCCATCCTACTTTTATCTGCCCCCTGTCTAGCTTTCCCTCCTTCCCTCCCCCTGGCAGCCAGGAAAACTGTGGCCCAGTTGCATGGTGCTGGGTGCTGGGCTGGACCCAGCTGCACAGTGGAGAACATGGAAGGGCTTGTGGGTGGCACCTCATTACCAACACTATTTCCTCTTTCCTTACTCAAGGCAACCCCCATATCCCCACCTTTACCTGCTTCCTTCTCTTTTTCCCACCTATCAACCTACCTTTTATCATCCCCCATCTTCACCTATATGTATTATTTCATCCATATGCCTTTCTCCACAATGGAGACCCGCAGCCGCTTATATAATTCTCCTCTCCTCCATTTTATCATCACAACAATCCTGTGAGGTAGGTTATGAGGGGAAAATGTGACTGTCCCAAGGTAACCCAGTGAGTTTCCACAGTAGAGTGGGGATTTGAACCTGGGCCTCCCATATCCTAGTCTGAAATTCTAACCACCACAAAACATTAGGTTTTGTGCAGTGGCTGCTGTTGCACAGTAGCAAGCAACTAGGCCTGTGTGAATCATGCAAGTCAGGTGGTAGCAAGTGGTTGCTGCTGGGCATGGCCCTGATGAGTCCTCCTTCAAAGGCCAAAACAGCTCTGGAAAAGACCCTGCCCCTCGCCATGCAGTCTACTGACAGAAACCAAGGCTTGAAGGCTGGAAAATACTGTTGTGGTTGCCTAGCAACAATCACTGAGGACACTTGTTGCTTAAAGCTATTGGCACTGCTTCTATTATTTTGGGGGCTTCAAATCCCCCAATTTTATTTTATGATTTCAGATTTTTCTGCAAACTTGGGGCATTTCTCAGGTTTCTAGAAAGATCGGCCTCGTCTGTCCATGATGGCAATCTCTGGATTAAAGTATCCAGATATACTGATTGGTAATTCCTGCATATACTGCAGATACATTATATTTTAAGGATGTATTTATTGTTTAAATGTGACTAATTCTGACTACAATTAATACACTGTAATCTATAGGTTGGCTCTGACCTGGATAGCCTAGGTTAGCTGGATCTCATCAGATCTCAGAAGCTAAGCAAGGTTGGCCCTGGTTAGTACCTGGATGGGAGGCCACCAAGGAATTTCAGAGTTGCTATGCAGAGACAAGCAATGGCAACCCACCTCTGCTTGTATCTTGCCTTAAAACCCTACTGGGTTGCCATAAGTTGGCTTGACTTCCACCACTATAGGCTGATAATACACTACTGAATTTCAGCATTATAACTCAATATGTTCTGGGATTGGAATGAATGTCAGCTATCCCTACAACTGTATGGCAAGCACCTATTGCCCAGTGCCCAACCTCACCAACTCACCTCTCTGGCAATGATTACGTTCCTTCCCGGTTGAAAGTGAAGAGGAAGAGAACTCTGAGATATCTCCACATGCTTTCACAGAACGTAAAAGATCTAGATGGGGAATATCTTCCTGGACATAACTTACTTGTGAACAGTGTTCTTTACTGACAGTTTCTACAGGCATGACTTAGGCCTGGTTTAAATATGCTGTTGGCAAACACTCTTCTGCAGAACTCCGCATGCCCTCGGCAGCATGTTTAAACTGGGCTGCTAGCTGTGCATTTCATTGTGAACCACATTTAAAACCTGCAATCTCCAAAAAGTGAATGCATTTTGGGAGGAGCAATGACGTTATCCATTCAAACACAAGAAGCCACACCAAATAACAATAAATTATAATCACAGTAATAACGAGGATAATGAAAAGTTTCCATATAAAGCTTACACTGACTGGCATGTTCGCCCTGTTCCCACATTCTAATTCAGCATTTTTAAAACTATAGTAGTTTGCAGGATGTGGAATGGCATGGTATTGCCTGGTCTTAGAAGCTACACAGGGTCAGTACTTGGACGGGAGACCACCAAGGAAGCCTCTGCAGAGGAAGGCGATGGCAAACCACCTCTGCTTCTCACTTGCCTTAAAAGCCCCCTGCCGTGGTCGCCATAAGTCGGTTGCGACTCGACAGCACATACATACCTATAAATCGGTTTTCAGTCTTTATTGTATTTTGCTCTCAACCATTCTGTGCAGTTGGTCGTTTCTATTTCCACATTAATATGGCGGAAGATGGCTGAGAAACCATGACTAGGCCAGATCCAATAGAACTAAGCCACTGTCTTCTAGTTCTGAGGGGCGGGTCTGTGGCTCAGTGGCAGAGCATCTCTTTGGCATGCAGGTGCAACTGTACTATTTTTGCATTCCCCAAAGGAAGGTCCCAGGTGCAGTCCCCATTATCTCCAGTTAAAAGAACCAAGCAGTAGGTGATGTGGCAGATCTCTGCCTGAGATCCTGGAGAGCCACTGTTGGACCAGTGGTCTGATTCAGTTTAAGGCAGCTTCACGTGGTCATGTAAGTCCAGCTGTCTGTCCATGGAAAGGCCCCATGCTGTAGTGGTTAGCGTGTCGGACTTTGTCATGGAAGCTCGCTGGGTGACTTTCAGCCAATCACACACTCTCAGCCTAACCTACCTCACAGGGTTGCTGTTGTGGGGATTGAGAGCCAGTTTGGTGTAGTGGTTAAGTGTGCGGACTCTAACTGGGTTTGATTCCCCACTCCTCCACTCGCAGCTGCTGGATGACCTTGGGCAAGCCATAGTTCTGACAAGAGCTGTTCTTAAAAAGAGTAGTTTCTGTCAGAGCTCTCTGTGACTGTTGTGGGGAGGGGAAGGGAAAGGAGTTTGTAAGCCACTCTGAGACTCCAAGTGAAGGGCGGGATATAAATCCAATCTCTTCTCTTCTTCTTCTAAAGAGAGGAGAGGCGAATGAAGTAAGCCACTTTGGGTCTCCGCTGGAGAGAAATGCAAATTATGAATCAAGCAAATAAAATAAAGTTAGAGGGAGCATTCTGGCTGTCACCTGATCCCAGGTACGCTGAGGCTTGCTCCTGCACCCCAATCCAATGCCCCATTTGGATGTTACTGGTCCGAGGAGAGAAGGCAAAGTTTATAAAGGCTCAGCACTGAAGCATATTAAGAGTTTTGTGTGTAGCCTTGAATTCTATCTGTTAATGTACTTTTTTTTAACAGACATGAGCACAACTAGCAGTAGATTAGATATGTTAACGTCAAGTGCATAAAATGTATCAAATTATCACATGGAGATCTCTGAGATGGCATTTAGAAGCAACCAGAAGATAAAAAAAATTGGCATCTCAAAATTACACTCCAATGGTTTGAAATTTGATGCACTCCCCATGCATTGGCTTTCAAACCATTGCAGTGTGCTTTCTGAAATGCTACATTTTCAGAAATAGGGCTTATAGAAATGTAGTTGATCGGAAATAGCATTTACAAGTAAATAGAAGAAAACTGTAGCATTTCAAAAGCACACTATAACGAACTTATACATTTTAAATATTAGTCTCACTCACATATGCAGTTCAAATCATTGCATTGTGCTTGTTAAATGCTATATTTTTCTCAGAAATACTGATTGAAGAAAATAGAATAAAACTGTAGCATTTCAAAAGCAAGAGAACAAGGAAAAGACATGTAAGTTCATAGTTATAATGCTGAACTCATGGTTCAAAATGAGCAGGCAAACTCTGAGGATCATTTCAACTTCACAAGAGGTCATTTAATATCCAGTGTGAGCTGTGCAATCAGTCTTACCATGCATCTTTAAGACTCACATATGAAAACACTCTCCAACAAGCATCAAAGGCAATTTTGCAAGACGGTAATGGTAAAGGCTATACTAACACTAGCCTCGAACTGATGGATGCTTTCACTTTTACTGCAGCTGTTATCGGCATGGATGAAGCATGAGACAGAATTTCAGCTACTCTAGAAAAATACACACACGCCGGGGGGAAAGCCGACGGTCGACACACCAGTTACAGGACCCGATTCCAAGCTCGTCACAAAGGAAGCACCACTCTGTTAAAATTACACCAAGACCAGGTATGTTGATACTTTTATTCAAACAAACTGGAAAAGAGTCAAGTCCAGTGTGCTTCTCAAGCTGCGAAACTGACACGTGTTTGGATCACAGAATAAACACAATGACAGCACCTCTGCCATATGTTAAGACCTCCACCTCCCCACCAGCATCTTTGCAAGAAGGTAAGATTTTAAAAGTGACAACTTACAAGAAGGGAGACAGAGTGTGCAAAGTGATTTGTTTTTCAACAATAGTATCTTAATTTTTTTTTAAAGCTGCAAGAATGACTTTCCCTTTTTGGACACTTAAGACTAAACTTCAACATAGGTGTGGTATTTTGCCCAGGTCCTGCACGGCACCAGAATGACATTTCTGACAAGTTTACAATTTTCGTGACAGAAAACTCGTCTTATTAAAACCTTCACCATCTCTTTCTCTCTCATTGTGCGCTGAATGTTGTGTTCCACTGTGGAAGAGAGGGTCTCCTACCACCAATGTTCCCTCTAAGCTGTGGAGTCCCATGAGCCAAAATCCTACTTTGTGAGCTACTGGCATTAAAGTTGTGAGCAGGTGATTCGGCTACTGCATCAGTTAGTTGGCTCTGGAGCCATCCTTCCTGAGCTAAGACAAAAATGCGTGAGCCGGAGGCGAAAAAACTATGAGCTAGCTCACGCTAACTCAGCTTAGAGGGAACACTGCCTACCACTGAAGGGAACAGTAAGATAAGCTTCTGTCCCTCATGGATTTAGATCGAAATTAGGAACAGAAGCCTAAAAAGGCTTTGAAGACAGACATTTCTTGCTTTTAAATTCCATTACCACATAGGTATTCTACTCAAG